GAAATGTACCGCTCAGAGCGTCTCCTAGATCTTCTGTGTATTTATTTTCGAGTGATTCAGTTGAATTGACGAGACTGAATTTCTGGTCTTGAAATGTGTTTCTGAAATCTGTTCCATTGTGGACTCCTTATTGTTCTTTTACATACTATAAACTGGAAATAATTTGAGCTGTTTGAGTCGTCTGAGTATGGGAAGTGTATTTCCTCAAGTTTGATAACAAGGCGGTTGAAATTTGGAAACTTTTCGGTATCCCATTGAAGCTGAGAAGAAAATAGACGAACATTTTTGTGATTATTCTTCATGTCTTCAGCTGATTGGATTGCCGTGTTTTGAGTTGTTGCTGATGAAACTGTGTGCTGGCTCATTGCAAACGATGCCCTACGTAAGCGTTCTGTCAGCGCCGATGTGTCGAGATCGCACTGAATTGATCAATAATCTCATCGTGTTCGCATCGAAAATGATCAATCTGAAATTGTTTCGTATCGATGAACAATGCGCTGATCTCTTATTAGATCGTAAGTTTCTCTGAATGAAACTTGAAACGATCATTTTAAACTTTGCAAAAGAAGATTTCATGAGTCTGGAAATTTTGCGAAAATTTTTCTTTTTTTGTTTGAAATTTTGAATTTTTTTATTTCAGCCGAATTGGATCGTTGTTGTGCTTTGCGTAAACTTTGTGAAGAAATTGGATATAAAGGCTTAATTGAAGTGTGGCGAATGCAATCAACCGAAGTGGTGAATGAGTGGAAATTGGTGCAGAGAAATTATTACGATCGAGAGAATGCGTTTATTGGTGGTCGTTTGAAACGTAATTTTGACGAAGTAATATCTGATGATAGCATTCGTTTATTTTGATGCATTTATCATCAGTTTCATGTTTTGTTTTACGCACCAAATGTGAATTTTCTTATCCAAAAAAGCAATTGAACAAATTGACGAAACTGAGCCCTCACTAATCATTTTCACTCTTTTCACTCTTTTTCAAGTTTCTCTAAACAGCGACGTCGAAAACTTTAA